CCCCACCCCACCAGCCTGGTCGCCCCTTACTTCCCCCCACTGCTGGCCTGGTCACCCCTTACTGCCACCCCTGCTGGCCTGGTTGCCCCACGTAGCCTGCTGTTTAGTCATTGGTCGTCTCTCACTAACCCCCTGCCGGCCTTGTCGCCCCACGCAGCCTGCCAGCCTGCTGTTCAGTCATTACTGTTACTGTGACGGCATCCCGGACAATTTGCATATCCCTCTATTATTAGTATAGATTACTTAGGTGAAATGTAAGTAACTTAGCATGGTATTTTTTTGTGTGTATTATCAAGTCGGTTTCTGTGGATGAGAGCAGGTCTCAGTTTGTTTCTTATACCTATTTGGCTCCTGTTTATCTTTCCACCAATATATTTCCTCAATACAAAGAAAAACTATTATTTCTTACGAGAATTCAATTTATCTATTGAAGACTGCTTTGATACTGGTTTTTGAAGTTTTTAAAACAGGCTCTACTTTTTAACCTGCAGATGTTTATTTATATAATGATGACCTGTTATCATCTGTTCCCTGGGTTATATCTTTAAATCCTTTATTTTATATCAGCCTAAAATTAATAACATTTATTAGATGTTATAAGATGAATTATTTTTGAAAAGTTGCTTTTAATGTTTTTCTTCCAACCGATTTTTAGGCAGATCACGTAACAGATTATTCCCAAGTTGTCTTTCATTTTACTTAGGCGACTTGACTTTATAGCTATGTCCTGAGATGTTTTTGTATTACTGTCTCATGACCAGAATGGCACTATTGATAAAAAAAATAACCAGTTAATATTCAAATACTGGTTATAAGGTTCTCACAGACTGATCATTTTATTGACCAAGCCTTCCCCCTTTTTAATGAAACTTTTGTGCTGACTAGGTAGGTATATATCATAGACCTTAAAGATCTAATGAAATACATGGAAATGATGTAAATCCAACCTTGTACTAGTATATACCAACTATGTCTACATAGCAGATGTTTAAAGATGTTTTAAAGATCTTTAAGACATCTGCTATGTAGAAAAGTAGTAGCTCTTATATATCATTTCCATGTGTTTCATTCAAACTTTATCTTCTCAGGTTTTTCTGAATTGGTCTTATGTGCATTGATCCTGTTTAATCACAAATTCATATTTTGAGGCATCTTTGTTAGGTTTTAAATCATGGTATTTATGTAGATCAGCATAGAAACTTATTATAATGATACTTTTCTAAAAAACCGTAACAAAACTCAAAAACATATTTTACGTTAAATCCAAAATGAATTTTCTCTTCTCTTTAAATTTGTTTTCCTAGGTACAAAAACATTACATTTTTTTCTGTCTATGTCAACAGCTTTTAAAAAATAAGCTGCCATACCTATTACTTATTTTTCTTTCATTCTGTGTTTATTTTGCTTATACTACCAATTCCTTTGACTTTCTCCTTTTTCTTTTCCTTTTTATGGTTACAATATATGTATTTGTATTTTTTCTGCAATTTAATACATTTTATTGTACTTTTGGGGGAGAAGACAAAGGAAATGAAATTCTAATTGTATTATTTACTTTCCCTCTTTGCTACCTGTTTTGGACATTTCACCATTTTATTTTATTTTATTTTTTGCTCTTTATTACAGAGGAGGTGTCTGCAAGGATAGTTCAAGTAGTCACGGCTGAGGCTGTAGCAGTCCTGAAAGGCGAACAAGAGAAAGAAGCTCAGCATAAAGATCAGCCTGCAGCCCCGCCTTTAGGTAAATGAGAAACCCTCAGACCAGGGGCTGTGTCTGCTGTTCCCTGGTCACAGACAAGTCTTCATGTTCAAAGAGAGGCCATATCTCATACTTCATTCATCAGAAACCTCTGTTGGGGTGCACTGGGATGTACGGTATTTTCACCTTTCGCAATAGGGTCATTGCGGTATTTGAGTAGTCTTTAAGGTTGATAAGCTTATAGTTAGACTTTTCCCCTAAATTATTTTTAACTTTTCATTTCTAGACCACACGAGATAATTATTATAAAAATAAAGCCAATGCACTTTTATCTCATCGCCCCCATTCATAAGGAAAATGCACTAATGCAGTGGTCGGCAAACTGCAGCTCGGCAAACCGCGGCTTGCGAGCCACATGTGGCTCTTTGGCCCCTTGAGTGTGGCTCTTCCACAAAATACCGACTTCTGCGCATTGGCCACGAAGTTTCAATTGCACTGTATGTGTGCTCCCGCACGTGTTATTTTGTGAAAGAGCCACACTCAAGGGGCCAAAGAGCCGCATGTGGCTCGCGAGCCGTGGTTTGCCAACCACGGCACTAATGCTTTAATTAGATATAATTGTTTCCCTTTTGTGGGTTTTGGTAAATGATTGTCTATATACTATAGTCTTCTTTGGGTCTCCCTGAACCAGCTACATAAAACCTATGGCCAGAGCTTTGTTAGAATTCAATTCTTTGTGTCCCATGTAAGATACTGGTCTTCACTTGGTTCATTTAAGGACGCTCAGATGGCATTTCTCTCTCCTTTGGTCACAAGTCAAATGCCTTTCAGGGCCAAACAAACAGGTAATGTGATGGTGCTGCCAACAAAACACTCTCAGCCATGGGCTTATGGCTTCTACTCTCCATAAATATAGATAGGTGATTGATAGATGATGATAGATAGATAGATAGATAGATAGATAGATAGATAGATAGATAGATATGCTGAGACACAAGCAAGGAAACTTCTCAGGTTCAACAGGTAGGTTTATTTTATAAGTACATAGATGTAATCCATAGAAAGGTATGTTTTTTAAAGCCTGAAAATAGAACATAACCTTTTTTCCTCTTACAGTCTAATGTATCCTTAATATTTGATTTTCTGATCAGTGATTTCTCAATTGTCTATTAAAAATTAAGCAATCAAAAGTCCGCTTTCCCAGAATCATAATTTAAAATATTCTAATTATTTACAATCAAATGTTCTTTTTTAAATATATTTTTATTGATTTCAGAGAGGAAGGGAGAGGGAGAGAGAGACAGAAACATCAATGATGAGAGAGAATCACTGATCGGCTGCCTCCTGCATGCCCCCCACTGGGGATCGAGCCCCCGCAACCTGGGCATATGCCCTGACCGGAAATCGAACCGGTGGCCTCTCGGTTCCTGGGTCGACACTCAACCGCTGAGCTACACCCGGCTGGGCAAATGTTCTTTATCTATTGTTTTTCTCCTAAAACTGAGAGGGAACAGTTATCTAAAACATTGACCTTTTTTGTCTGTGGTTCACTTCTGTTGCTTGAAATAAGAGAAACCCTCACCTTTTCCTTTTCAACCTGAAACCTTAAAGTATGCCATGGAAAGGTCCACTGGGTCAAGGAGCTGAAGAGTCACCTGCCATCCCAATGCTGCCTCTGCTAACTGCTTTATGAAATAAAAATTTACATAATCTTTAGAATAGATCTTACCACTGGCCTTGACTGATGACTATGTCCTTCTGAAATCACTTACCTTCATATGAGTGGTCATAAAGTGTCTTGAGGAAACTTAGCGTTAACTGTAAATTAATTACAGCTTTCAGAACCTTTCTCTTTGGTCCTTCATGTAAAATGCCAAGGACAGAAGATTACTCAGCTCCCACTGGAACATGTCTCTGTCTGAAGGTTGCCTCTGGCTATGACCACTTCATTTTTCTTTTCTGAAAGTACATGTAGATGATGGGTTTTGGTATTAGACTCAGCGGACAAAATGCCATTTAGAAAATACATTATCTAAAATAACTGTGAATAATCAAGGTAACATTGATCAAGAAGTTGAACAATGTTACTTTGTTGAACAATAAAGAATTCTAATATTTTTTCAGTCCATCAAGTCAAATGTAAACTAAAAATGCCTGCCCATGTGTGTTTGAATATATAGTAGATTAGGGCCAGGATGAAATATTTTATTAATTAAACAGGCAGACACAGATTAATGGGATTAATGATGGACTTTTAGCAGGTGTCTGTAATCCATTTTTATGGAGAAGACAAAATGATTATTTTAAAATATTAAATGCTCTTCTTTCTTTTTAGGTTTTCAAAAATGTGTGAATCAGGTAATGGAGCTAAAAATAAGTCAAGTGCAACTTACTATTGAGTCTTTCCTGGAATGTCATAGCGAGGACTTTTTATAGATGGCAGAACTGCCTACACATCTGCTGGCCTAAAAGAATTAATTGTCGTATCTCATTTTTTCATTGTTTGATCTTTAGCAGCTGAAGAGACCGCTAATCTGCCTCCCTCTCCACCTCCATCACCAGCCTCAGAAAGGACTGTCGCCGTGGAGGAAGGTAAGGCCTATGGGACTGTTTCAGGTTTATCTTCTGGTAAAGGGTAAATAAACATCAATCCATCAATCCATAAGCACTGGACTTCAGTATAAGCTAGTCTGTGACCCAGCTTGGGAGCTCTCTGTTTCAAATAGTCAAGAGGAAACAAAGACTTTAATAAACAAATGTATAATCATTTATCTACGTAAAATCAGAAGTGGAGGAATATGGTAAACAAAAAGGGAAAAAGATGCTTGATGAAGGAAATGATAACTTTGTGCTTAAGTTGCTAGAATAACTACAGAGAACCAGTTCACTTAATATAGCATGTTTTGACAATAATGATATAATTTTATCTTACAAGTGACTAAACAAAAAAATATATATTGATGAACTCAGCGCTTCCTTATGGAAGTGTTGTCAGGAATTGTCTGTTTTGCTGAACATTGCCAAGGTCTTCCCCAGGACCTGGGCTGTTGCAAACTCTCAGTAAATGTTCATGAATAAATAAAGAAGTTAATGAGTGAAGCTGATGCAGAGAGCAATGAACTGGAAGCTGAGATCATGGCTTCTTTCCTGCTGAGACCTGTTATTGTCCATGAATCTATTTATGCAATTTATTCAACCTGAAAAGCCATGTCAGCTTTTGAATTCTCATTGATAAAAACAGAGGGATGCCTTTGAAGAATATTCATTCAGAATCTGAGATGAATGGCATCTTTTAAAAGCAAACTATTATTGGTTCTTAGATCAGTTAATTTTTGTGTATTGTTTGAGTTATGGGAGAAAGCAAAGGAAAGCTACAGCTCAATTATTAATATAATTTAGTTTTCATATACTAAAATCAGAAATTTAATACTAATGCATTTTACTCATTTATTTCTTCATTTATTTTTCCTTTTGTTGTCCCTCTTAGAGATCATTTTATTATGTTAGAAATAGAAACATCACAAAGGACTCATTGTCTTTTTATAATTTGTAATTAGATTCAAATAAAATATTCTTTGATTTCCTCAGATTTTCCTAAATTACTAAACTACAAATGATTAATAAATATAATTTACTTTTGTCACAGATTTATAGACCAAAACTTTTTTGTTTCTTAAACTGAAGACTTTTTTCAAACTTACTGCCTGAAATATTGTTAAACAAACTAAATTACTTTAATAAACACGAGAAAATTTGGGGATTTTGATCAGTACATATAATTAGTTTCATAAAAGCCACTGATTATTAATTAATTCTCTGAAAATGTGATTTGATGTTTTAATTCATAGGTTTGAACGATTCTTTTTGCCTTATGTTCATCCATTCATTGAGCAGATATATATGGAGACTCTACAATGTATGCAGTTCTCTTCAAATTCTGGGTGTACAGTAGTGAACAGAACAGACATGATCCCCGTTTGTAGGAAGTACACTGTCTGGTGGAAAGAACAGAAATCCAATAAATAAGCTGACGCATAATTTTGAATTGGTAGTACTAGGAAGGAAAAGAACAGGGACTTTTACAATGGAATAAGAGGAATCTTAGTTTATTGTATGGTAAGGGACAGTTAAGAAGTGGAGCCTAGAAGCTTGAGTAAGTGTTGGTCAAGCAAAGGTGGAGGGAAGGGGCATTTTGGGCAGAGAGGCCAGGATATGCAAGGGCATTTAGGTGGACAAGGGCATGACGTGTTTTAGGAACTAAAGGAGTTTCACGACTAATGGTGAGTGAAAAGCAGGCAGAGTAGTGAAGAATTTGAGAGTAAGCAGCAGCCAACTGGGTTGAGGGACCTGGATTTCACTCTGAATACAGTGATGATAGTACCTCCCTCAGGTAGTTGAAAATGTTTCTGAGCCCCCTACTCACAGCCTTTCAAGGGTCAGAGAATCCTTTTAACCCAGAGAGGGGTATGGCTCCAAGTCTGCTGAGATCACATAATTACTCTTCTTTCTCCCATATGGGAGTTGGAGCAGAAAGGGCCCTAGGGCAGTGATGGCGAACCTTTTGAGCTCGGAGTGTCAGCATTTTGAAAAACCCTAACTTAACTCTGCTGCTGTGTCACATATAGAAATTTTTTGATATTTGCAACCATAGTGAAACAAAGACTTATATTTTTGATATTTATATGCCATTTAACAAAGAAAAATCAACCAAAAAAATGAGTTTGCGTGTCACCTCTGACACGCGTGTCATAGCTTCGCCATCACTGCCCTAGGGTCTCCATCCATCTGGGGATTCATCCAGTGTGCCTTTCAAGTTGGGGAGGGTTATAATGAATATAATGAAAACATAAATAAAATGTAGAATCACATTTACATTTTAGTAACTTAAGTGTCACTATCCAGAGTATAACCCTCCCTTATATTTTAGTATTGCTTTCTCCAGGCTGTTTCAATATATTCTAAGAAAATGTCAACTTACCACTTCCTATTGAAAGCAATTCAAAGATATTTTATTCTGAACATTTTCAAACTTATAGTGCTATTAAAATTTTTCAAAAAATATTGAGCTATACAAAGTCCTAATGATTTGCTTTAGGATAACCATTTTTGAGTTATATATATATTTTTTAATTTTGTTTTATTGCTTAAAATATTACAAAGAGTAGTACATATGTCTCCTTTTTATTGAGTTGTATTTTTAAAGTATGCATTTTACAAGCTTTACCTAATTAATTTAAAAGACCAAGTAGTATTCTCACTTTAAATATGTGAAAGATACATGATTTGGACAATTAAACCATCCCCTCTCTTTTCTTTTTAACCATTCTTAAAGTACGTCTAAAAACTTTTTAAAGTTTGTTTATCAGAAAATAAATTAGTGACAAGCCACAAGATAGGATTCAACTCTTCAATTTGTCAAACCAATTGGTTTTGTAAAGACCCTGCCAAAATTCAGTTAATGTATTGCTCATAGCAGGTCCAGTGGAAATGGAACAAGTGAGGTTTTTGCTAGAGTTTTTTTAAACTGTTTGACGCACCCTCAAAACAACTGTAATCTAAGGGCACAGTGACTGCCACAGCCCAATCTCCTTTTACAAATGCAAGAACTCTTGGATTCAATTGAGTTCAATAATTTTGGAAAATATGCTTTTTATTAATTATCAAACATTTTAAATGCTGTTCTTTACCAAAGGGGGACCATGAAACCTTCCACTAAAAATAACTTAATATGTTCATTACTGTCATTTCTGAGTATTTATTTATTATAATCAATGTAATAATAATTTCCAGAACATGTGCTTATTCTGGGAAACATTTAAAGGGATTTTGATGAAAAAATTAAACAGCGGTCACACTTAGAAAGGAAATGCAGGTATAGTAAAATGAATACTAAGCTAGGTAGGATGTTTTCAAATTAATCTCCTTTTTCTTTTTGGCCTAACCATAATGGTTGTTATTTGGAATTTGGAAGCCCGTGTGAGAATAATGGAATCATCAGAAAACAGAACCAGGAATCTTTCTGACCTCTTCGGTTTACTCCAGAAGTCTAGGGTGGTTTTTCCTATGTCAATGATGTGGCAATATTATAATTGCTAATCTGAAAGCTTTCCTTCCATATCATTCTGGGGCAGCAAACCCACTTGGCAAATGGAGGAGTCCTCAGTCAAAAGCTTGCAGAATGGGAAGGGCTTAGAAGTGACAGAGAACAATGCACCTGGGGCCAGCCACCTGCAGCCACTGGCTGTGGGGCAGAAGATGTGATGCCAAGACAGACTAAAACTACTGAGTCACAGAGACCCCGTGAGACTCAGTCTCTTATAAAAGTGACTTCTCATTTGTTCCCAAGGGAGCTGACATACTAAGTTTGGGTTTAACATGGCAAACCTTATTTAACTCAATATAAATTTTCAAAGGCTTTTCTTAAAAAATAGATTGTATGAAAGCAAATTAAGAAAAAATGGATCCCTCCACTGAAACCATTAGAAGTTTAGCATTCTGAATAAGAGCCATGTAACACTACAAGTTCATAAGACTACCCTGTTCTTTCAAATATCACAGCATTAAAATGAAATAGAATCTTTTGCAGCAAGGGAAGTGTCCCCAAAAGCATGTGTACTTATAATAAAAGAAGGCATTCAGTTCTGACCTTAAACAGCAAAATTAACTGTTATGAAGTGAGTTTACTCTTTCATAAATCTCTCAAGTCTAGCTTTGATGTCAGATGAAAGTAACCAGCAGAGGTCCATGACCATCTGCCTGAGTGCACTGATAGATGCTAACATGTATGGAGTCCAGCATCGTGCTTGGCACACTCTCAGATATCCTCTCATTTACTCCTCCTAGCTACCTACAGGGAGAGATAGTACTCACTCCCACTTCTTGCCCAGGATGTCATGGCCGGTGGATGGCTTATCCAGAATTCAAATCCAAATCCCATTCCCTCCAGCCACAGCCCCATTGCATCCCTAAAGCTGTTTCTCATCTAGGTTCTTAGTGTGGGACTACGAAAACAACTTGATTTTCCTTCAGAGGTGTTTTTTAAAAATTATTTGTTATAAACTACTGGACTAATTTCCTTTATTTTTTTCAAATTACTCTCAAATAAATAATTCATTTATTTATAATGATTATGTATCCCACCTCCATTAGGTATGAACCAAGAGCACCTGCCACACACAATTCCATAGCAAATGAGGATCTATTGTCTTCTGTCACTATCATTGGAACCACGTGCACTGTTTGCTGGTCATGGTCCTCTAAGCATCACATCCCTGACACACCTCTGGGACTTGTAAAGTAGATGGATATCAGGCTCCTGGGTCCTAAACAGAGACTTGGAGTACAGACAGCTCATAGTACCAGGAGAGGACTGGACTTGGCCAGACGTTCTTTATGAAGTTGCCTGGCTCGGGTCCAGACAAACGCTACAGGGAAGCTACTTTTCCACGGCAGCCCTTACAGTTGTTGCTGCTTTTGTTGTTCTCTGACTAGAGTCAACGTTTTCAGAAAGACAATACTGTTCCTCTGAAATGTTAGAGATCTAAAGTAAGACTGGGTTGTTTTCCCATGTTCACTTTCAAAAAGAGCAACAGCAACAAGAAAGAGGAGGCCAAAATCTTCAAAAGGCTTAAACCAATCCAAGGAGTAGTGTCTTATACTACCAGAACTCAGCTTTAAATTCTTTAGTTTTATACTATAGTCTGCTCTACTCCCCAGAAAATAAATGTTGACCAGCAGAGAGGTGAATATGACATTTTCATTTGTTGATTGGCCTTACAATGTGTTGAACATATTGGAAGTTTTAGAGGTAACGAGGGTACCTGGGGAGTTTACAGTCTTGGAGAGTCACTGGAGGAAATGTGAATGGGTGGGACACATGACAAGCCCAGGCCTCATGATTCAGCCAGTGTTGTAGACCAAGTTAGAGCCAATTATTTGCTCAGCTGAGAAACCGTGCCGAGTTAAACTAAGAATATCAGATGTAATTTTAGGCTTCTGCCATCCCATGATAGAATAAGCATCATGGATGAGAAAGTTCTGAGCACCCATCCAGAAACAACTTCCACAGGGCAGTCAGTAAATAATGTGTTCAAAAAGATTAGAAGTATTCTCTCCCCAAAACGTTATTTTAGTATCCTGATGATTTCAGACTTATTTCCAGTTGTGAGCACCTGGTTGCTGAAAATAAGTTACTGCCTTAAAAGTACAGTACCTTTTCAAATTAATGCTCTAATTCTGCATGCTTAACTTTAGAATAGAAACTATACAGTCCTTATTGTTAAAAATTATGAAATTTTAAAATTATTCTCTATGTAAGTCAATAAATAATTATTAGCAAATTTAGTAATCTGACACACAGGTCTGAGATGCAGTGTCTACACTACATCTGAAGCCAAGTATTGTTCATTGTCATCATCCTTGAAGCTCATTAAAATATACATGAATCCACATGTGAAGCTGACCAATCTACCCCTGTATATCTAAGGAAATATATTTAAATAATGCATCTTTCTAAGCCAAGACACAGGAAAGGTCAGAGATGAGAGCAATTCCTTTAGCATTTAACTGAGAAATATGTAATGAGGAGGTTGAAATAGGAAAACAGCCAAGAGCCAGTAGTACAAATTAAACTGCATGGAGTAAAGTCTTGATGAATCTGAAGTCCTCCCTGTACAAAGTTTCAGCTAATTATATCTCTGTTGAGCTTTCAGAAGAGAAATAAAGCACAAAAACAAGTTTAGAATACTAGGGGCTTTCTTAAAACCCTAAACTTTCAATGACATGCAAATGAGATGTTCAAAAGGATGCCTCTAGGACTTAGCATCCAAAGAGAAAACCATGCTGACTGCACTTTTCTTAGCAAGGCGGGGAAGAAAAATAATGCATTGTAGATTTTTCTTAACAAGATTGAAATTAAACATTACTTTCTGGTTAAAATTGGAAACTAAAAATTAAATTTAACAAAAATGCTAACTATGTGAGCATCCCAGATAATTAAGGTTGTGCTTCAAACAGGACTATTTCTCCCCATCATCAAAAAGATCTTAACTACCTTCTTTTTTTTTTTTACTTATAAATAAATTGATATAAACACAAGAGAAATTAATCTACTTGAAAGAATATCTTCCAAAGCATGCATTTGTTTTGTAATGCTTTGTGTCTATGCCAATGTTTCTGTGCTTATTCTGACTTGTTTGAGGGGAATGTATAGATAAGGTCTGTTATGCAGCAGGGTGTCAGTGCATTTGATTCATTAGATCAATTACAAGATTATTTGAGGGATAGTTTCGATTCAGTGGCTCCTGAAGCGTGAAACATTCACCGTCTCCCATCCCATCAGCTTGGTCTTGCTAATCCTTCTCCGCTGTGCTGCTTCTGTGGCCCTTTGTGTCCTTGTGCAGGTGTTGTCTGTCTGTCTGATCTCGTGTCTGTCTTGTCCAGTTCTCCCTGCAGTTTCTTCCTGTGTGTCTGTTTGTAGATGAAGGGGCTGAGGATCAAGTGGGTCCTCTACACAGGTTCCCCAGCCACGAACCTGCCACCAGCGGGAAGAGGCGTAGACTCCTTGTCCCCTCCATCTCGGTGTCTGTGCCTGAGGATGACCCTTCCAATTCCGATGAGGAGTACTATGAGCATCCTTTGTTCAGCTCACAGTGGACTACCTCTAGTGTGCTCCCCAGTGTCCCCGCGCAGAGTGCAGAGGCCCACTTAGGCCAGGAGAAAGGTGAACCAAGCATGGTCCCCTTTTGCTCCTCCTCCCCAGCCCACGGCTTTGACTACATGCATTATATTAAGTGTGCTTTTATATGTGGGGTGGGAGGGATAGGAGCCTGTTTTTTCCATATGAAAGTGAAGTCCCTATATAGCTTATATCCATCCAAAGGCCTCAATAATTTATATAAAAGAAACCTTACTTGAGGCATGTGAGAACTGCCTTTTTCTGTATTGTTACTTCTAAAAAGGAAGCCAAAAAGTGGGGGGCAGAAAGGGAAGAATCCAAAAAGGTTTAATTAAAATATGACTCCCTTCTGCTTCTTGCAAATAAATCATTCGGGAAGAATATATTCTTGTATGCAAACAAGAGAAGATGACCCTGAATATAATTTTTCTTCCTTGGATAGACAGATCAGTTATAAATAGCCATCTTTTTTAGTGCCTTGTTAATATGATAGTTTCTGTATAAGGCAGAATAAATGTTATGGAATAAATGTATTTCTCCACATTGTTTAATTAACTGCAGAAACTACAGAGGCTCTTCCAGGTGACTAAATCTGGGCTCACATCAGTAGAACTAAAGTGAAGGAAAAGATCCACAGCCTTTGTCATTCCAGCTTTATGAAGATGGAAGACCCTAGTTTATAATTGGCTATGCCATGAGCAGTGAGCTGCAATGTGTCTCATTCTAACTAAGTAGTTTTGTAAAGAAAAAATAATTAGAGCTAAAACATTTTTGTTTAGGTGAAGAAATTATTTTCAAATAGGCAAGAATACCTTGCTTAAGTGAAGAGTTTATGTTATACTAGAGGCCCAGTGCACGAAATTCATGCACTGGGCGGGGGAGGGGGGTGCTCAGCCCAGCCTGTGCCCTCTCCTCAGGGAATGTCCAAATGATGGCTTAGGCCCGCTCCCCGCTGCGCTTGCCAGCCATGAGCCTGGCTTCTGGATGAGCGGTGCTCCCGCTGTGGGAGCACACTGAACACCAGGGCGCAGCTCCTGTGTTGAGCGTCTGCCCCCTGGTGGTCAGTGTGCATCATAGCAATCGGTCATTCCACCATTCGGTCGATTTGCATATTAGCCTTTTATTATATAGGATGGGACAGTACTTAATGGGAGGTTAAATAGTTCCAAGGCAGTGGGGATAAGCTCACCGACTATGTTCCTGATAATAAACTTCTTCCAAGAGAAAGAAACAAAAAGCACCAATGACTCAGACATTCTGAGGGAGAACTACAACCTCTACTCAGTGAAACTAAGTTCTTCTAATAGTGTAAATTAAGACAATTAATAAAACTATGTGAATTTTTGAATAAGGAACATGTGGAGTGGAAACAAACATGATTTATACAAAATCATAAAATGGAAGGCTAAAAATTTACATGGATTTGGAAAACATGTAAATTAACTTGATTAGGCTGTATTCGATAAGGTGACATTAGCAGCTATATTAAAAGTCTTTTAGCTGTAATTAAAATCTCTAATTCTAACACATTATAAAATTGCCTTAGTAAATTAGAGTCTGAATTTTTAAATGTTACTCCCATAGCTAAATTATGAAAATGAAAGTGTCTGCATGCTAAATGTGAGGAATAGATGAAGTCGTTCTCCCCTGCCCCCAACTCCAAGGGTTTTAATATTTCTCAAAAAAGAAAACTCCTTTTCTATCTATGTCTTTCTCACAGGGCCATTTAAACAATGTAAAATAGTTTCAGAGGAATTTTTAATAAGAATTTTTTATTAGCAAACTAAAAAACAGCTTGTATATATTTCCTCTAATTTCTTAAGTGGTAAAATCAGATTTATTTTACTGCCATTTGAAGCACAATAACTCATGCCCTTCATAAGTTTGTTTTTATATTTTAATTGTTAACATTTGTGCATGTGATACACACCTTTTGGGGAGATATTTTAGCAGTTTGGTTGCCACTCAGTTATCTTTCCTTGGTGGCTTTGAATGGCAGAAATAACACTTTATAGATGACAAGCACATTGTCTTTCCTATTCAGTGTCAAGGGGAACTATGCATGAACCACATTACGAACATTTCAGGTTTAGTGTTACGAAACCAGTTGTGTCCCAGAGGCAAACTTTTCTTAATAGGTTGAACTTGTCCCTGAGCCTTGTTTTTCAAAATATTTTACTTACTGTTTTAAAGTTTTTATATTCTCTAATATCATATGATGTAGTGAAGGTAAAATAATTTGAGTTAGGCAGTATTTCACCATTGAAAAACTATTAAATACATTATATTTTAAATAGTTTTGGTGGACTTCATGATAAAGCTGTAAAGGTAATTGATTGGATCTTATTTTGAGACCAAAGCTTTTTTTATTCCCAGAGTTCTTTAGCAAAGTTTGCATGTTTTAAATAAAGTAATCAGAAATTCATGTGTAGGGACTTCTTGCATTGGAGAAAACAGCACATGTCTAACGAGTGTAAAGCATTTTTTTTATTTTTCAGTACATCAATGCATCTATCTTTTCACAACCATCTGTTATCTGGTAGCACCATCTCTTCCTTCCAGCAAGCTTCTCACATGTGTGCAACTCACTGCCATTTCCACTAAGTGGTAATAGAGCAATAAAGCCATTTCAGCTCTCAAATTTTAAGATAAATAGCCTTTTAATGAGACTTTAAAAGGCATCCTTATTAGCAGATTATACCTAAGTTTTCCAAGCACTAATTAGTATACATTGCATTAGAATAGTAAATTGCTTATCCAAATGGTAAAAGAAATCCTCCTGAGCTGAAAGTGTGCCTTGAATAATATTTCTGTTGTTGTGTGCATTGTTCTGTGGTCATGACGTCAACATCTTTTTCATCCCTAAGAAGAAGAAGCGCTAGAGGGTCCAGTGGCTGAGGAAGAGAAACCTGCCACTCTTCCTGGGAAAGAGTGTGGGGCTGCCAAGGTCTCAGACCAACCCAAGGGCCTCAGTGAGGGCCAAGTGGAATCTAGTCTGGAGACCCATGTAGTTCCCGAAGAGAGTGCCCCAGCAGGGGCCCCGCAGGAGAAAAGTATAAAAGAGGTCACGGAGGTGTCTCCAGAAGTAAAAACCCCTTCCTCTGCCAGGGAAGGTGTGTCTGTCTTAGGATTTGCATGTGTCTTGTTGCAAATGATCTCTCCAGCAGCTTACCAACCTGATGCCTTTCCAATGCTATTCCATTGCCGAGTCTTCTCACGATCCCCAAACCCATGACCTAGGCTTGCGGAGCGGAGGGTGCGGCTTGCACAGGTGCCCTGGGGCAGCTTGGTTGTCCACTGCTGCAGCTGATTCCTCGTTTTACTTTGCCATGATACAATACGCTTTGCAGCCAGGCTGATGATGCTGTGTGAGCTTTTTGTCCCTCCGCCCCCTCTCATCTCAAATGTTTGCCAGTCACATTGCTAATACATGTATATTTTTATTTGTTTATTTTGGGGACAGCAATTCATATGCTTTTGTTTCAAGTCGCAGAGTTGAACTTTCGCACAGAGAGGCTTAAATGATAGAATCATCTTTTGTTTGCAACCGCAATTGGCTCTATTTTTTTATGCTTCCATGAGGACTGGTTTGGTTTCCTTAAAAGCTCCTGCTGATGCTTCTCATATCATTTCCTTTCCATGGCAGCCAACCCCTTTGGTCATCCCCATATCTCTTGAGTTTTCATTCATCTAATATTTATTAGAAGTTCATAAACTATTTTTTTTCTATTGTTACAACAGGACACACAAGCATATAAGGTAATGATGATCCATACACTTGCTCTTCGAGAGATGACTGGATTTTATTATTTTCCCCCAAAATATTTTCCAGATAAATACATTTGGCCCTAATGACCACAGTGAATTACCTTTAACCTTAAAACACAAGTGAGACTCTGAAGCCTTCTTGATTGGTGAACAAGTTAAAAAAAAAAGAGTCATTTAATTCCTGTGGAGCATCTCTAAAGGCAATACTGGTGGATGCTTCCAGTTGATTGTGTTCCAGGGAATGAGGAATTAGGTGATGATCAAGGAGTGAAAGATATTGTATAGTCGATACTCTTTAAAATTTTGTAACTCATATGACTTCCCAGTACTAACATTATAATTCAGATTTCCTTATATTTATCATAAAGACTAAGTAATATTTATTAAGAATTTTGAATCCATGATAGAAATTGACTTGTCGATTCTTAGGCCATATAAAGTCAATAACAAATATTTATTAATATTGCTGAAATTTAATCTTAATGAATTTTAAAAAAAGTTATTTCAGTAATTGTTCAATACCCCCCAAAGTTGTTGATCAAGATCATTGAAATCATGAACTTTTATTATAATGAATTGACCTCTGCCCATGGCCTACCAATTTATTTTTAAATGAGAAAACAATAAGTTCAGTAGAAATTGGTCCTTTTCCATATTTAGTCCTATATATACATATACATATATATGTATATATGACTTTTGCACCCTAATGTTAGCTACATATTCAGTATTCTTTAATTCACAATTTTTATCTGAAGAAGGAATGTAAATTCTTTCTACTACACTTCATATCACATTCTGTTTAGAAGAGACTAAACAAAGGACAAAAAATATTCAAAATATACTCTATAATTTCTGTATGCATTAATTCACAATGAGAGCTCATTTTAGCAATAGTACAGATATATCTCAATCCTGACATTTTCATATTGATTTTTAAATGGGTAGCATGTGTGCATGTTCCATAGTTTTTCTTTTCACCCTGCCATTCATTTGTCATTTCAAAATATAATTTTAAGCTTACTGCCTGAAAGCACTTGCCTATTTTTTTTAAATCAACCCAATTACTTCAGGTTTACTTACAGCCTCGAAGATGGAGTTCCATGATCAACAGGAATTGACTGCCTCTTTACCTGAGCCATTAGACAAGAAAGAAAAGGAGTTAGAGAATCAAAGTAAGCCTGGTGAAGATCTTAAACATGCTGCCTTAGTTTCTCAGCCTGAGACAACTGAAATGTCCTCAGATAAAAAGGACAGACGAGGCCCGGAAGAAGGAAGAGTGCCTCTCACTCTGTTTGGGCACACTCTGGGTGCCGGCCTAGAAGACTCGAAACAGAAGGCAGAACCAAGCCTAGTGGTACCTGGTATTGACCTCCCTCCAGAAACCCCAGTTCCAAAAGAACAAAAGGACTGGTTCATCGAATTGCCAATGGAAACAAAAAAGGATGAGTGGGGTTTAGTTGCTCCGATATCTCCTGGCCCTCTAACACCCATGAGGAAAAATGATGTATTTGAGGATATCCCAAAATGGGAAGGGAAACAATTTGATTCTCCCATGCCGAGTCCTTTTCACAGTGGAAGTTTCACTCTCCCTTCAGATGTTATGAAGAATGAAATAGTTGAAGAAGCATCATCTTTTGCTCCTGCCCTATTAAAGTCTGATGACAAAACATCTCTGGAAGAAACCAGTGGCCCAGTAACTGCCAAAGACACTTCTAAAGTTGAAGAGCCCCATAAGGATAAACCTTACATAATGGCAGAAGTATCAGCCTCAGAGGCAATTCCCTCACCCAAAGATGCCCACATTCTGGACGTAGAAGAATGTGTCCCAGAGAAAGTTTTGGAAGAAGAAAAAGGAGCAATAAAGCAAGAAAGTGTGCAGAAAAAAGAGACGCCCACCCTTAGTGGCCAGGAATCTTCACTTACTGAAAAGGAATCTCAGCTGAAGCTTGAGGAAAAGACAACCATTCCTGACAAAGAAACCATGCTGAAAGAGAGTGAAGCCCCCAAATCAAAAGACAAAGAAACAGGTGTAATTCAGCCCTCCACAGAGCATACTTTCTCCAAAGAAGAACAGAAAAGCCAACAGCCGACCACATTAAAACAGGAGTCATTCCCTGAGAGTTTGGAGCAAGCAGTTACAAGTTCAGCCATGACCTCTAAAGCACTGGAGAAGGAACCAGCTGTGCTAAGTGAGAAGAATGCTATCGAGGATCTGTTTGAAGAAAAGGTTGCTGACAAAGGTAATAGAGTTGAAGGAGTCGGGGCTGCAACATTAGCTGAGCTTGACATGCCATTTTATGAAGATAAGTCAGGAATGTCCAAGTACTTTGAAACATCTGCCTTGAAAGAAGAAGTGACAAAAAGCTTCCAGCCAGGAAGTGATTACTATGAACTGAGTGACACAAGAGAAAGTGCCCAAGAGCCTTTTGATACTGTATCTCCCATGCATCAATATGGTGACAAGGGACTTCAGGCAGGTAAAGAACCCCAGCCCGGTGCTCCAGCACAAGAAGCAGGGTATAGCACTCTTGCAAAGAGTTATCCACCTGATTTACCTGAGGAGCCCAGTTCTCCTCAAGAAAGAATGTTTACTATTGATCCAAAAGTATATGGGGAGAAAAGGGATCTCCATAGTAAGAATAAGGATGATTTGACACTAAGCAGGAGTTTAGGACTCGGTGGTAGGTCTGCAATAGAACAAAGAAGCATGTCAATCAATTTGCCCATGTCTTGCCTGGATTCCATAGCCCTTGGATTTAACTTTAGTCGGGGGCATGATCTTTCTCCTCTGGCTTCTGATATTCTAACCAACACCAGTGGAAGTATGGACGAAGGGGATGATTACCTTCCAGCCACTACCCCAGCAGTGGAGAAGGCCCCTTGCTTCCCAATAGAAAGCAAAGAGGAAGAAGAACAGATACAGGGAGAAAAAGCTGCCGGAGAGGGAAATACTCAAGTCGAGACAGTGTGTGAATCGCCATTCCTAGCCCAAGATTATTACAAAAATGGTACTGTCATGGCCCCTGACCTGCCTGAAATGCTAGATCTGGCAGGCACAAGATCAAGACTAGCTTCTGTGAGTGCAGACACTGAGGTTGGCAGGAGGAAATCAGTCCCATCAGGGAATGTCATTGAGGAGAATCGTACTGGCTTGCCCCCTGTCACCGATGAAAACCACGTCATTGTTAAAACGGACAGTCAGCTCGAAGACATGGGTTACTGTGTGTTCAATAAATACACAGTCCCACTCCCATCACCTGTTCAAGACAGTGAGAATTTATCAGGAGAGAGTGGTTCCTTTTACGAAGGCAGTGATGATAAAGTGCGAAGAGATGTGGCCACAGACCTTTCATTGGTTGAAGTAAAATTGGCAGCTGCCGGAAGAGTCAGAGATGAGTTCAGTGCTGAGAAAGAAGCATCTCCACAATCAGGACTGAGTAGGGAGTTTGATCAGGAGAGGAAAGCAAATGATAAGCTGGACACTGTACTAGAAAAGAGTGAAGAACATGCTGATTCAAAAGAACATGCCCGGGAATCCGAAGAGGCTGGTGACAAAGTTGAAACATTTGGATTAGGAATAACCTACGAGCATGCTTTGGCCAAAGAACTGACAGTATCAAAAGATGCATCACCTGCCATGGCTGAGAAAGGTCTCAGTTCAGTGCCAGAGGTAGCTGAAGCAGAACAATCCAAAAAAGCTGGATCAGAACTGGATTTTGTTGCAAAGAAAGCTGAGCAGGGTCACTTAGATGTTAAAATCAGCGAGTTTGGACAGATGGCCTCAGGGCTAAACATAGATGCTGCAAAGTCAACAGAGCCTAAATTCGAGGCTACACAGGACCTCACTCTCTTATCCGGGACGCCTCAGGAGGCAGGTGTGTTTATGGGTGTTGAGTCAGGCCACATGAGAGAAGGCACCAAAGTCAGTGAGACAGAAGTCAAGGAGAAGGTGGCCAAGCCTGACTTGGTACACCAGGAGGCTGTGGACAAAGAAGAGTCCTACGAGTCCAGTGGTGAACACGAAAGCCTGACCATGGAGTCCTTGAAGCCCGAGGAGGGCAAGAAGGAAACCTCCCCGGAATCTTCTCTAATTCAAGACGAGATTGCCATCAAATTGTCTGTGGAAGTCCCTTGTGCACCTGCTGTGTCAGAGGCCGAGTTAGCTGAGGATGAGAGAGCGGATGTCCAGTTGGAATCTATTCAGCCACCCAAAGAAGAAAGCAAAGAGACCCCAGGTATCTCCATCACACCCTCTGATGTTACAGAGCCGTTGCTTGAAGCCGTCGGGGCTGAACCAGCAGAAGCTCAAAATGAGGAAGAAGAGATAGAAGCACGGGGAGAATATGATAAACTGCTTTTTCGCTCAGACACCCTTCAGATTACTGACGTGGGTGTCCCGAGTGTCAGGGAGGAATTTGTGGAGGCCTGCCCAGGTGAACACAAAGGAGTGATAGAGTCTGTTGTGACCATTGAGGATGACTTCATCACTGTAGTGCAGACCACAACTGATGAAGGCGAGTCCGGTTCCCACAGCGTGCGTTTTGCAGCCCTGGAGCAGCCAGAGGTGGAGAGGAGACCATCCCCTCATGCCGAGGAAGAGCTTGAAGTAGAAGAGGCAGCGGAAGCCCAGGCAGAACCCAAGGATGGCGCCCCCAAGGCTCCGGCTTCCCCTGAGAGAGAAGTGGCTGGGCTTTCAGAATACAAGACGGAAACCTATGATGATTACAAAGACGAGACCACCATTGACGACTCCATCATGGATGCTGACAGCCTCTGGGTGGACACTCAAGGTGTGCTATTTTTTTTTTTAATTTTCTGCTCCCAAAGAAAATCCCATAACCTAATGGATTTTTTTTTCATTTTAAACATTTAAAAACGCCCCTTTGTCTCTTTATTTTGCATTTTGTTCAATGGATGAAGGCTTCTGTACACTTGTTACTAATGTTCTTCTTGTTGTTCTTGTTGTCATGATTTGCTTTGATTCGCAGATGATGATAGGAGCATCATGACAGAACAGTTAGAAACTATTCCTAAAGAGGAGAAAGCTGAAAAGGAAGCTCGGAGACCATCTCTCGAGAAACATAGAAAAGAAAAGCCTTTTAAAACCGGGAGAGGCAGAATTTCCACTCCTGAAAGAAAAGTAGCTAAAAAGGAACCTAGCACAGTCTCCAGAGATGAAGTGAGAAGGAAAAAAGGTTCATTTAACAATCACTTCTTTAAAAATGTTTGTGAAGTAATTCGTTATTACTCTTTTTATAGAAGAAACTTCTAACAGTGGTAACTATGTAATGAAATTTTGTTCGGTTTTGCTCCAAGTGTTTATTTTCTCCTGATGGTGTGCTTTTTGTGTTTTCTTATTCATAGCAGTTTATAAGAAGGCTGAACTTGCTAAAAAAACAGAAGTTCAGGCCCACTCTCCCTCCAGGAAATTCATTTTAAAACCTGCTATCAAATATACTAGACCAACTCATCTCTCCTGTGTTAAGCGGAAAACGACAGGTGACTGTTCAATTCTGCAATGTGGCTGGCAAACATAGACATGTTTTGTTTTGTTTTTGTTTTTTAAATTTCATTACCGTAGCAGCTTCTTCATTTTATTTTTCTTCCAAAAATATCTCAGTAGTCGTGAACGATTTCAGCTATTACGTGTCTTGTATCATTATTCTTTTTTTTTTTCCCTCCCTGCAGAAGAGGTCATGACCATCTGTTTCTTTGTCATGCTCAGACTTAACAGTGATTGTATCTTGGCATTGTGCTCTAGTGTCACGTTCTGGGGATTCCTATTTTCATTCTGTGTGTTTGGTTAGACGATGGCGATGAATATAACCGTGGTATGCATTCTCATTATTTTGCTTATTTATCTCCCTCATGCTTAAACCCATACGTATTTGTCCTATTTTCTAAATTGTTACTGCCAAATCTGTTACTGATGTTGATGAACTTACTAAAAACCACCAAGAATGCATAGTGATTTAGAGATTGAAAATGAAAAGCAAATCTGAGTTAAAATAGTGGTTGCAAAATTACTTTGCTTTGGATGAAAGAGGGGGAAGAAAAAGAAAATGAAATTATCTGGTAATCTCCTCAGATTTTATTTCTCAGATTCGCAAATTATAAAGGTTTTTCAATCTATTGTATGTATCTCTCAGCTGACATTTCACCATTGGGCTTTTCTTAAATGTGTTGGGTCCTATATAATTCAGTGTTCAGTAATCAAAGATAAAACTCTCTCTCCCCACAACATTTCTTAGAGTTTAGGTGTATTTCTATTTTACTGACTTCTTATTTTTTTCTTCTTCAAATATACTTTTTTTTTTACTGTTGAAAAAGTGATGGAGTGAAGGAGCACAGCATGTTACAAATCATATAAAAGCCATCAAATATCTATAATGCAAACTCCATTCCTAAATTATAGTATTATTTATTTAAATGTATAATTATACTATGATAATCTTAATTTATGATATATTTCATTTTAGCATTTGTTAAGTGGCATACTTGCAGTCTACAAAATTAGGTATCAGATTGCTAAATCGGGAAGGAATATTTTGCTTTCCATTATACATTAGACGTGCCTTTTTATAAACATTCAGATGGATTTAAATGTTAAGAGCAGCATTAACCTTTATAAAAAAAATATCCAGGTTATTGATGGTTTTGTGGTAGCTGCTAATAATCTCAAGTATTTTGTATTTGTGTCCTTCATATCGGAATCGTTTAATGTGCTTTTCTTCAAGAACTAGTCTCAAAGGTGGTATTTGAAAGTGGAAGACTTCTAATTGTGCACAAACACTGATAATAAAGATTCAGGATGAGAATCTATTTAATAGTTAGGAATTGACATGCCATCTCTAAATCTTATATCCACATATTAGATCATTTTTCATTAAACCTTCAATTTTTCTTCTAGTTAGCCAGATACTTGGGCAGGCAGAAACTCTTGGTTTGGGCATAAAAATCCTTTATTCTACCTGAAAGGATGAAAGAATATATCAGGATTGTGGAATTTCAGAGGAAATGTCAAATGGCGTGGTGAAGTACCTACATGTCATTTCTATTCAAGATCTTTGTACTAATTAGGATCTTCCTTAGTTTATTCAAAGGTTAATACTCAAGCAGAAAGCATACACCAAACAGGGTGACATTGGCTTGTAGCAAACTCTATGGCACAGAAATTTGAAAAAAATAGAAATAGTAAGGATACATCATTTCCACAGCTTCTTCCTAAAAAAAAAAAAAAAAAAAATCAGTTCCAGAATCTGTGAATAATCTTACTAGCCAATCCTAAATAGCATGTAGCATATTGTAGACAGTTATTATTTTTGTGTTAGAGCTGCAGATGGCATAAGGAACTTTCTGAAACTCATTTGAAATGCTTATAAGGATAAGTATTCTTCTGCCCCCCACTGGGGATTTCTCTTTTATGAAAGAAAATTAAGGAGGAAGTAAATATGCAAGCTTGCCTCTTTAATTTTAAGCACAACTTTTAAATGCAGATCATTTTCCAAAACACAAAGGATTGTTTTCAGTCATGAGAGATATTTAAAGTCAAGTCAGGTAAGTCATCGACAGAAAATACGCTGGAGATAATGGAGTTTTAAATTGACACCAGAAGTATAAACGAGTAGCAAGAAAAACAGCAGTAACAGATGTGGTAATGATTTCATTCAGTAAGTTCATGTGTAGGGCATGTTCTATATTACCGAAGTCGAAGCTCTCTCATGTTTTCTCTCTTTGACAACCTCTTTTTCTTCCCTTCTCTGCTCATGTGATATGTTTCACATCGATCAAGTGTGTCATTCATATTGTGAAGTGAAAGGGTGCAGAGGGAAAAGGGGTTGGCTGACCAAGAGAGTTTGGAATATGAAAGGCAGAAGTACCTGAAGGTATGCCAATGGCTACAAAAAGAGGGTTTGGGAGTCTTCATGAGCTCTCTTTTTTATATCATGCCAACCGGAGAAACCAGCCAGTCCCCTTTTCCTTAAATTCCATAGCATTCAGATTGCTATTCTGTGACTCCCGTTCTAAAGGATCTATCCTCATGTAGTAGTGATGTAAAGATAACATTAGTAACCAGTAGAAAATTATTTGGTGTGCTTACCTGTGCTTTGGTAAACCCTGGGCTATATTAATGAGCACACCGTATAGTGGAGTGTTGTTATTATTCAGGTTTCTTTAGGTTACTGAGTTTGAGTCTCAAAATAAGCAAAATTTTGCTTTGCATTAGGCTGTTGACACAACTGACTGTCCAAAGTGTATTGAGAAAAGCATGTGTGTGGTGGTTAGCCATTAAGTTTGGGGTCATCTGTGTCTTCTCTCTCCCACAGCAGCAGGTGGTGAATCCTATCAGGTTCCCAGTGTATTTAAACAGGCAAAGGACAAAGTCTCTGTGAGTAAAATAACTTTTTCCCTGTTCTTCACTTGTAGCTCCTCTTGGTATTAGTGGCCATGTTTTACTAACTTTAGATATAATTTAGACTTTAGCTGTTTACTCTTAGCTGTCATTGTAAATCAGAATGATTCTGGGTGGCATTCGGGCATGTCTTAATGTCTTCTGGGATGACTTGTCCTTGGTGAAGGCTGCTCTTTATTAGGAAGACAAAACATATGAAACAGCACAATGATCTGGTAAAAAGGAGGGAGCCCAATTATTTATTTCTCATAGATTCAAGATAAACCATTATAATCAACACAAAATTAAATTTTATAATACATATTTATTATGTCTATCTACCAAATAAGAATCTGAGCAAATTAAGCATGTAGATGAGCAAAAGTTAGTAAAAATATATTATTAACCCCTTTATCTAAAGACAACTACAGTTACCATTTTGATGTAAAATCTTTGTTTTTTTCTACACATTTGTAGGTTTAATAACAAAAGCACAGCGTATCAGTTGTTTAATTAAACAGTAAACAGAATTCCATGTCACTGAACATTCTTATACATTCTCTTAATGACTATATCACATTGCATTTTATTTATTCATAGTATATACTTAACTCCCTATTATTCAAACTATATTTTTGTTAATTTTTAGCAATATTACTATGCAGAAATCATTTTTTGCTCAATCCTATAAATGCATCCCTGTGCATTCCCTGTAGTGAAATTATTGTTTCAAGAAGAAGGTCCATATTTAAAGTTTTTGATCGAGATTATCAGATTGTCCTCCATTAAGAGTCTACTGACTTTTATGTCCAGCTGTATATAAAAGTGCCCACGTTCACCATGGTTACTAGTTATTCCTATACTTTTTCTATATTTCTCAAGTTATGAAGATGAAATATCTTATTGTTCTAATTTGGTTGTATTGATGATATTTAACTTCTTTATATGTTTAAAAATCTTTTTTGTTTTTATTTTATGAACTTTATTTTTATATTATTAACCATATTTTTAAAACTTTCAAAAGACCTAAGTCAACATGACTTTTCTTATTGAAAGAAAAATTGTAAAGAGTAGTAATAAAATCCTAAAATTACAACAGATCATTTGAATTATGTTAATTAGTAACATATCACAGTGTTCTCAGCCAACATGTATGATGCATGAATCACAATTCTTTGTTTAGCTTTTTAAAAACAAGTAAGATTTTAGACTTCCACTTTTTATTTATTGTGAAAAATAGGAATTCATTTTTAATGACAGCCAGACTTTTATATAATCCTGAACACAAGGAGCTTTATGTTGATAAAAACATAAATAGATATATATTTATTTAATTTTTATATAGATGTTTATAGTCTTGAACATATGGCAAGCAACAGAATCCATTTATTGCTTTGGTAAATATTAGTGTTTATTTTGAAAACACTGTGATTTTAAGATTTGTATATCTTCACTTTCTGTTTCTGATGAGCAACTAGTCAGTTGTGGTGTTTAAGAGCAGGGCTAGAACAGACCAGGCCCAATATTAACTATATTACCTTTTCTTCCTGTGTCTTCATTTCCAAAAAATAATGGAAGGAGTAAAAATTCCTATATCATAAGTTAACTGTAAATATTAAATATAGTAATTTTATAAAATAGTGCCTAGAACATAGTATTTAACAGTGATAGTTGCTATTATTGTTGTTGTTGTTGTTATTATTATTTGAAAGGTGGAAATCTTTGGCAGCAGATATGGAAAGTAAATTTGAGCTTTCCCCCATTAGGGAAAGAATGTTTCCATGTACATTGTTTGAAAAATGTTTAGGAAATTTTCTTAAAGTGCCTTTGCCTTTAAATAATTCAACAGGAATTGACATTCAATGCTTACACGTAAGACAGAAACCATACACATCTTCTGACACAAAAATGAACCTTTTTCCCTTGTAAATACCCATCTCATTTTTCTGAGGAAAATTAGACCACCATTCTTTCCAGCTGTTTTTCATTTAACATCCCTCTTTTTCCTTCCTTGTAACCTCATTTTTTTCTGTTCCCTAAAACCCTAAGATAAACTTTTATTTTTCTTTGATATTCAGTACACCCATCAGAACAGTTATCTCCAATTTTTCAATTGACCTTTATTGTGAACCTGACCGTAAACCTTCATTTCATTTTGATTTTTTGTTCATTTTATTTTGTTTTTAGCATCAAATTAATAGTTTTCTTTTATAATTTGTGGCAATTCAGTCACTCAGTTTTCTTTCCTATATTCACACTTTTGAAATTCACTATTTTGTGGGTAGCATCAATAAAAATTAAAAATGACTTCTGCTGACCCTGTTAACACTTCCCAGACAAGGTGCTGGCTCTGTAAAACAGGAAGTGAATTGTGCAACCAGTGACAAGTTCTGCCTGTTAAAGTGGCTACAGAAACTTGAGATAAAAAAAAAATCTCAGTTTCAAGTGCTATTTTTAAACAACTAAATCATATTAATTATTTGAAGATAAAATATCCTTGGCTTTGTCATACTTGTCTGCATATTTAATAGAGTTTCCCAAGAGACACTGGGCATGCCAGCATAGCTTACTTTCAAAACCATTGGCATCCAACCCACTTACTTAAACTTGCCCACAATCTCTCCCTGGGTTATCAACACCTACAAATTCAGTCTTGGATTTTTATGGGCAGTCTCTTCAGTGCTGACTTTCATTTTTGGAATTTATAACACATCATACAAACTGTGGCCCATGAGTAAAAATGTTATGAATTGTATGGCATAACTTAATCCCCAGTTTGCATTTTACTCATAAAATAAACTCATATATAAACTCTGAAGTTTTCTGATGAAATTAATGTATATAATCTAAAATATATATTTTCTCAACTTAAAAAAATTTTAATTATTAGATTTTAAATATACCTTATTTTTTTGTTGTTGTTTTTTTTTAATTTCAGAGAGGAAGGGAGAGGGAGAGAGATAGAAACATCAATGATGAGAGAGAATCATTGATTGGCTGCCTCCTGCATACAACCCACTGGGGATCGAGCCCGCAACCCAGGCATGTGCCCTGACTGAGAATCAAACCTTGAACTCCTGGTTCATAGGTTGATGCTCAACCACTGAGCCACACCGGCCAGGCTTATACCTTGTTCTAAAGTTCTTGAAATGTGACCACAATATTAGTTATATATACATCTTAAGAGCTATGTTTATCAAAGGAACAATTCCAACAAACTCACAAGATAGTATCATCTAAGATAGTATCATGTAAGATCTATGGATTAATCAGAGACTTTATACATAGAATGCATAAAGAATACTTTAATCTATATTCTCATATGTGAGTATTCCTAAGTTTAAAAGAGGTGTTCAATGAAAATCTCTCATTCTCATATAAATATACATCTTTGTCATCATTTATAACCATTTATCATGTGTTCTTATTAAAAATATACATTTAATTTTTTATATGTTTATACATTTTTAAATTTTCCTTTTATTTCATAGTTTGGTTTATTTTGTGCTTTTGTTTGTTTTCTTTCATGGCTAGAATTCTACCTTGTCAAAGATTCCTGCCTTACAGGGTAACACAAAGTCCCCAAGATGCAGCTCAGCCTGCCCTAGTCCAACTAAAAGGACTACATTTTCTGACAGTTTTTTAATACAGCCCTCCTCAGCGGGCTCCACAGACCGTTTGCCATACTCAGAATCAGGGAACAAGGTAAGGCAGCAGGTCAGTCAAAGGCGCAGAAAGGAATATAATTTGGGAAGAGGACAGGATTTAATAAATGAATGAAAGCAAACACTTTAAATTCTGACTGGGGTGACATTTAAATAATAGACCTTTATGAAAAAACAAATACAAATTAAAAGCTTGAGCAGCTATGAATAGTCTAACCATTAAAAAACTAGAAACCCATTATTAATTTATTATTTATTTGAAATTTAACAAAATTTCAAATGCAAACAAAATATATTAAACATATTGCATGTAGCATATTTTATATATATATATATACAATCTAATATATATATTGCATAATCTAATAATACCAAATTATATTATATACTAAAGGCCCGGTGCACAAATCCGTGGATTCGTGCACCGGTAGGGTCCCTCGGCCTGGCATGTACCCTCTTGCAATTCGGGACCCCTCAGTGGATGTTGGAGGCCTGGTGCATGGTTTCAGCCCAATCCCCACAGGCCAGGCCGCGGGACCCCACTGGTGCAGGAATCCATGCATCAGGCCTCTAGTATACATATAAGATTTTTGGTTAATCTCTTCCCGCCCGCCACCCCACCCCCGCTCTTCTCTCTGAGATTCATCAGACTGATCTATGTTTCCATGCCTGTGCATTGAGCATCTGCCCTCTGGTGGTCGGTGCGCATCATGGCTACCGGTTGAACAGTTGAATGGTCAGATGGTCGCTTAGGCGTTTGTATATATATAGACAATACAGTAGAGAGTTTGGATTTGGCATCAGACACATCAGGATTTAATACTAACCTCTGTTACCTAACAACTTGAAAAAATTATATAAACTGATTAAACCTGTCTCCTTGGCTATAAAATGCATATGATTTTTGTGCTGAGAATTAAATTATAAGTGGATATAAAAGTGCTTCCAGTTCCTATGACATAAGTGCACGATGTATGCAAGGGTCATTGTTAGGAATATTATGCATGCAATGCCCTACTGCCATTCCTTTCTGATTAATAAATTATCATGCTAATGTAGATTTTTCAGTAAAATTATTAATTCACTAAAATTACTTGAGTAAATTCATTTTGCCTATATTATCAATTAGGATTGGAACTTCATAATCAATTATTAACACTAAATCCAAAGTAATCCATTTTTAACAAACCTCTAGGCAAATATGAATTCTAAGTTTTGAAGTAGAAATGCTTATAAGCATGTGAAATTCAGTAGTGTGTATTAAAGAAATTAATCTATCAGCACAGGAGGAAAAATAGCCAGATCAACGTAATCACCTTGTATAATTAAAAATAAAGGTTCACAAGAATCCAACGTTCTTTTGTCCCCCCCCTCACCCGCCGCCCCACCATCAGGATGGAGTAACCAAGAGCCCAGAAAAGCGCTCATCTCTGCCAAGACCCTCCTCCATCCTCCCTCCTCGGAGAGCTGTATCGGGAGACAGAGACGAGAACTCCTTCTCTCTCAACAGTTCCTTCTCCTCTTCAGCACGGCGGACCACTAGTAGGTTCTTTTGGTTTGTCTTCCTTTCTAATCATGTTTCTAAAATCCCATAAGTAGAGCAGAACTTACGTATGTATGCCTTACATTTGTCAAAACGTGCTTTAAAATCAGATTGCATTTGTCCTGAGGATCAGGAAATTTAGACTGTTGAGGGGTCCTAAGAGCTGTTTGAGTCAAAACGATTCATGGCGGAAATGAGTACATACTGCTTTGTTATTCATTAAATGGGATTGGGACAAAGTTGTTTTTCTCAGAATATATTTCCCTCTTCTTTCACATTTAGAGTAAAAATAAATTTGAAAGAAGTAATTAAGAAAACCTGTAGTCGGGTGTTTAGAAAATATATAGCTATAGAAAATTAACCCTTAAAATCTAACTGGAAAGTCAACAATCAAAACCTAGGATCCTGCTCAATTTGTTTAAGAATTTGCCTTCCAATCAGGCTGTAAACAGAGCATGTTCTGTGCCAGAGCTTCCGTTTCTTTAGACTGATGGCCCATCATGTACTGGTTGGTAGTTATCACCGTGTATGTAAAGACTGTAAAAATGTTCTAATCATTCATTACCTTCTTATATGTTGTGTTGCTACCAAGACTATCTAGTAAAGACTGGGTTCAAATTACCTTCACAAATATGTTTCTATTACACCAAAAATAGCTACCATTTACTGAGACATGGAGATGCTAAAATCTTAAGACACATTTTCCACGCAATTTAATTAACAAAGCTAATGGTTAGGTATTAATAACCTCACTAAATCTTCTAATGAGAAAACTGACCTTTTAGAAAGTGTAACTTGTCCAATGCTATACAGCTAGTAAGTGGTTGAATTTGGCTGTCAGCCCACTGATCATTTCACAACCTGTCCTCATAAAGTCTTCTCTATATTTATTTGGAAGAAATAGTTCCAGAGAATTGCTCTATAGAATCCCTTGGAAAATCGTACAGTATCTCTGTAACTTAAAAATCATTACAAAATGGTGGAAACGTTTGAAAAAATAGTATCTGTCATTAAGATCTATTACAAAATGGTGGAAATTGCCACTGCTATCACATTATAGTTGACTTCACCACTTACTTTTTATTAAATTTTTAGTAATTAGCCCACTTGAAATGTAACCATGACATTTAAACCGTGCTTTTGTCTACAATGAAAATGTTTGTTATATTAGAGCAATTGTGCTGTACATCATTTAGCTTCATGAAGTATTAACATCCTTTGAAATATGTGCTAGAAAAACTTTGAAAGCATTAAAACTCTTTTTTCCTTAGCAAAAATAAAGTGTTCAAATGAAATTGGAAAGAATGCATTTAAGAGTTAGTCATCTCCAGAGATAAGACTTCAGCTCAGATATCTGGAGTTGGAATTGGGCATAACCCCGGGGGTGTTAAGACAAGACAAATGTATCAAGTACTCCCCAAATGTATACCATGAATCATGCCTCTATTTGTTGCTATGGAAACAAATGGTACTTCCTCCATAAATCTACAACTTCCAGCCACTGTGCTCTGCCCTTTAAAATGTATCTGCATATAAATTGCTTTTTTGTTCTGAGTCAATCTATTTTGATTTTCTAACTTTACTTACATAAGCATGTTGCATTGTATTATTTGATAATGAACATAACTGATACTCTAAGGAAAGGGTTTGTTTCATCTCCACATAGCAATAGCTAAAAGGCACATTGACAATTAGAAGAGTGTGATTTGCCTGTCATCTTTTTAACTGCACACAAGAATATTCTGGCAGTTGGTACAGCTATTGAAAAGATTTGAAAGGAACAATGCTATACCGGAAGTTCATTTAGCCCCAAAGGAGGAAAAGACATTTTCATTGAGGAGCTGACAAGATAAATGGGGGTGCCATTTAATAAAGTAACTTGTAAATATTTTAAATTTTTTAATCTTTATTGTTGAAGGTACTACATATGTCTCCTTTTCCCCCCATTGACCTCTCTCACCCCCTCCCACCCCTTTTTAGTTGTTTTTGTATCTTAAATTTAACCTTTTTAAATTTCAGAACATATAAGAAACACTCAAATGTGTCATTTTGACGACTAGATCATCATTTATTGCAATAAAAATGATTATATCTATTGAACATCAGTGTTAATGGCATAATATTAGTGATTCCCCCCTCATTCTCCAGATGTAACTCAAAACCTTTATTCTTTAGTTTTCCAAAGCTTAAAGCCTTTTTCTAAAAGTATAGCAATGACTCTTATTTTAAAAAATATCTTTAATAAAAATTGTTATTCACATCCAACATATTACATCAGCTTAATCTCTATAAAGTCAAACAAACAAACAAAAAAAACAAACACCTCAGCACACTTGGATCAATTCTGAATCCAATTCGTACTATTTTAAAAAGAAAATATATTGTATACCTCCTGTGTTCAGATCCCACTGGGTACAGTGACAAATAATACAGAGAAGATCCCTCTCCCTCAAAGACCTGAGTTACTCGGAGGTGAGGAAGTCATAGAGAAAACATTTGAGGCAGAAATACAGTTCTGCAGAAGGACATAGTGATTGATTCAAGCCTGCATCCAAAACTTGGTCATAAACAAGCTTTGTAGAAAAGAAGCTACAGGCAAGTTGGGTGTGATTGTATCATCCTGGTCTCAAAATACGATTTTGTTGAAAGCAATAAAAATCACAGAATGCACACTAATTTATCACTTCAGTCTCTTCATATCTCATTTCATATTGTTAGTTGACGAGTTTACCTGTTTTGCCCTTATGTTACAAAACCAAAAGGACATAGGGCAACTTTCAATTAATATGTGAAAACTGTTCACTGAAAGAGGAAATAAAATTATTCTGTTTCTCCAGGAAATTAAACCTAGGCCAGTGAGTAGCTCTATGTTGCCTATACATCACAATTGTCTTAGAAGCTCTGTGGAGCTCACTACTTGTAAATATTTAAGCAAATATTAATTGTCCCCCTTCTCAGGAAGAACTTCCTGCAACAGTGGTCAATTACATTAGATGACTCTATGTCCTCTTCACTTCATTGGTTTTAAACTTAATGAGTCATTGCCCTAACCGGTTTGGCTCAGTGGATGGAGCATCGGCCTGCGGGCTAAAAGGTCCCAGGTTTGATTCCGGTCAAGGGCATGTACCTTGGTTGCGGGCACATCCCCAGTAGGAGGTGTGCAGGAGGCAGCTGGTCGATGTTTCTCTCTCATCGATGTTTCTAACTCTTTATCCCTCTCCTGTCCTCTCTGTAAAAAATCAATAAAATATATATTTTTTAAAAACTTAATGAGTCATATCTTTATCCTCTCTACAGGATTTCTAGAAGATTCATTGATTTTTACAAAGTACCACATACTCAGTAGTAAAAAATAAAAATCATGTCCTTTCTATAAAATACAACAAAAGAGTTTGTATAATCAATGTAAATAATGTAAATAAGTGGTCTATAAATGAAATCAATGTATTATTCTAAGAGAAAAGATTTTTATGTTAAGAAAAAGATAAATAGCCCAGGCGGTGTTGCACAGTGGTTGAGCGACGAACTATGAGGAGATCATGGTTCAATTCTCAGGCAGGGCACATGCCTGGGTTGTGGGCTCTATCCCCAGTAGGGGGCCTGCAGGAAGCAGCCCATCAGTGATTCTCTCTCATCATTGATGTTTTTATCTCTCTCTCCCTCTCCCTTCCTCTCTAAAGTCAATAAAAAGTATATTTAAAAAGAAAAACTTAAAAAATATTAAGAAGCTAGAATTTAATATTGTCTGGGTAAATGAGCCTCAATGTCCTCATTTTTAAATTAGGGATAATAAGAGGTCCCTCTAGCTATTGTATTTTTTGTATTTTGTTTTTGTTTGTTTAGTTGGTTGGTTGGTTGGTTGGTTGGTATTTTGGTGGTCACAAAAGTGTTTCGAAATTTGTAAGGTATACTTTTATTTATATCATTCTTTCAAAAAAAAAGGTTTGAAATGTCATTCAAAATACATTTTAAAAGATAATATGAGGCAAACATAGTATAAGAAATGGGGGGAAAGGAGTCAAATGATAAAGTGAGACTAAAGTCAAATTGAGGCCAAAAAAAAAATTGTATCTTGCAATATCTTGAATAATTGGCCATGAGAGATTATTGATTTGACTTCAAATTACCAAACTAGTAATGAGGGTAGAGGAGTAAACACAATCAGAAACAAGATTTACTGTGAATATAATGTTAAAAACATCCTAGTTTTCTAAGGAGATAAATGGACTTTTTTTTTGGGTATTAAGAACTAAGACAACTTTCCTTATAAAGAAAATACATGATATTGTAGACAATGTCTGACATCATTGAATGGCTTTCAGTAAACACATTTGCAACTCACAGTGCTCTTCAATATAAGATGAGGGGACACCATTGAAACGTAATCCAATAATTTTCTACATAGTCCAAAAGTATGTGATTTAAGTCACAGTTTTACATTGAATGTCCACCTGGATATCAGAATGAAGTTACTGCACAGAGCAATGGTCTGCATACCATTTGAGGGAACTTCAGTAAATATGAACCCACATAAGATTAAGGGCAGACTCTTTTTGCAACTAATGGCAGATCCATATGCCTTAATGATTACCCAGGTAAAAAAAACAGTTTTTGACACATTCATAATAGAATTAAGAAAAATCAGCAAAACTCAAGTTTTATTCTTGCATTGACAGCAATGCATGTTCAAAAAACTGTACTAGGTAATGACCATAAAAGAGGAGGCTTACATTTTTTAGCATTGTGATTCATAGCTATTCTAAATACTTCAGAAACTTAACTTCAGTAAATATGAACCCACATAAGATTAAGGGCAGACTCTTTTTGCAACTAATGGCAGATCCATATGCCTTAATGATTACCCAGGTAAAAAAAACAGTTTTTGACACATTCATAATAGAATTAAGAAAAATCAGCAAAACTCAAGTTTTATTCTTGCATTGACAGCAATGCATGTTCAAAAAACTGTACCAGGTAATGACCATAAAAGACAAGGCTTACATTTTTTAGCGTTGTGATTCATAGATACTCTAAATACTTCAGAAACTTCATGCATTATAAATGCTAACAATTGTGAGAAGAAGGATACGTTAAGGAGAGCTTTTTAATGCTGAATTTTTGGTTTTGCTTTTTATTTGTTCATATAGGGTCAGAGCCGATTCGCAGAGCAGGAAAAAGTGGCACTTCAACACCCACTACCCCTGGATCAACCGCCATTACTCCTGGCACCCCACCAAGCTACTCTTCACGCACCCCAGGCACTCCTGGAACCCCTAGCTACCCCAGGACCCCTCACACACCAGGAACCCCCAAATCTGCCATCTTGGTGCCCAGTGAGAAGAAAGTCGCCATCATCCGTACTCCTCCAAAGTCTCCTGCTACTCCTAAGCAGCTTCGGCTTATTAACCAACCACTGCCAGACCTGAAGAATGTCAAGTCTAAAATCGGATCAACAGACAACATCAAATACCAGCCTAAAGGGGGGCAGGTAAGAATCATATGAATACGTATTTGCTGCCAGGTATAAAATCCACTAATTATTATGATGCCTTCCTCATAATATAAGCTAACAGTTCTTACAGAAAAAGGGAGATGGAGTTACTGGTTTGATTTATGGCCAAGAGTTTGGAACTTATCCGAGAAAGCTAGCTTATAAAATATAATGAAAATCACCGGACATATTTATTTCTATTAACAAATATGGTTACTATTGGATAAAAATTGTTGTGACCATGTAAGAGAAACTTTTATTTGGTTGCCTAACAGATCTTTTCTAAATGTATCTCTATTGCCTTATGGATTTTAACTGAAGAGATTAAAATGGCATTTCTGATATAAGTTGACAGCATTCTGTTTTAGATCCTGACTGTGAGCTCATCTGACTATATTTTAGTGATTCCACTTTCACCTCCTTCCTTCTTCCCCAAGGATTTCCTAGGAAGTCTTCTACCATTTTCTCATGTTCACTCCAAATCAGAGCATTCTTTACCAAGTTTCTTCTCTGGCTGAGGTTGCCGAACATTGCAAAGGACGAATATTCATGTTGATAATAAATAGACAGTCTATATGGTTTTGATGAATACAGTTGTACTAGAACCCTATTTAAGATTAATTGTCTTGGGAATTCAACAACTTTTCAAGTTGAGAAGCCTTATTATTTGCCCCAATTTGTACATTTTTTGCTCTTCTAGATGTATAGGTTTTGTGCTCTTAGCCATCATCTTTCCTTTTAAAGTCCTGTCTTTTATTGGCAAGAGGCTGTTCTGCTCAATGGCTTAGTTCAGTGAGGCAAATCAATGCCTAGTGTCATAGATAACCTAGCTGAAGATATGAGGAGACTGATAGAAGCAATAAAGTTCATCTTTTTTAGCTGAAACAAATTCACTCTATTGGAAAGAATACATACAATCCTGGATTCAGTGTAGACAGTGATCTTGGCTAATTTAACTTAAGACAAAGGTAAGACTATCTTATTAAGTGCATTGATTTGAAACTATCTAAATGTAGTTAGCTCCCTAATCTACATTAAATCTAAATTTTAGAATAAATAACATTACTTTTTAAGAACACAGTTACTTGATTAAACAAAGTTAGGAAAAATAATTTCTCTAAATGCATGGCATAAAAACATTTAGGCAACAACTCAATGAATGGCTCTTTATACCTTTTCTATGTATTTCTGATAGGCACATTGATTTATATGAAATATGCGTAGGCGTTTTGACAGGTTTCTTGTTTTTATCAGTCTTATGAAGATTAGTATACACTGCATATTTCTTTTACCCTTATGATAGTTGAAAGTTACTAATGGGGTAGTTTCACAAGGCCATAATTTACAGATTATTGGATAGAGAACTTAGGTGGATCATGACTTCTGCAAGGCCACTTCTGTGGATTTGATGGATTGCCTTGTGAATTATATACTTCATGCATGGAGCAGTCAGTCATTTTCAGGTCAGCTGGGCTAAAGATGGAGGCATCTCCAAGCAAGAAATTCCTGTTCAACAGTACTCATCTTTGACTTAAAAACTTGTAGAATTTTTCAGCCTATTACTTTTGCTGTCGGTGTTACCCTAGCATCTTTTTTAAATGTTTATTTAGATAAATCCATTATACTAGAACCTAAGAAATATCCTCACGTTCTAGAAATAAAACAGTCTAATTTCTCTTAGAAATTAATTAAGAAACATTAAATATCAGAGCTATACAGCTTCTTATAGTCTTTCATATTTTCACAAAATAAGATACAGAAGTTCTCCCATTACCCACATGAATAAAGACTTCAAGAAAGTGAAGGAATAAGCCATTTGAATAACTGGGGAAGAGTATTTCAGGCAGAAGAAACTACACATGCAAAGGCCCTGAGGTAGAAGCAGGCCTTGCAGGTTCTAGGAACAGCAAGGAAAGTTCACATTGAATTATTATTTTTAATATTATTACACTTATTCAAAAAGTAGGACTCTTTTGCCAAATCAAAAATCCGAGTCATCTTTTCATCTCCCTTTTCCTCATCCCATATCCTGGCCATCTTGAAGAACTAATGATTTGATGCCCCAAATAGCTCTTACTACATTGTGTACCACTATAGCACAGGTTACGTTATCTCTTGTTGATGTCACTACAGTAGTTGTTAAATGGTCTCCCTTCATCTTTTCTTTTATCTGAATATACACTCCACACTATAGCCAGTTCTTCTCACCACATTTGTAATTAAGCATTCCATTGTATGGTTATTTAATGCCGATCTTGTCCCATTTACTAGACCATAAGCTCTATAAAATTAGGGATGAGGTCCATTTTGTTCTCAGTATTCAGTAGATGCTCAATAAAATATTTGTTGAAAGTAGAATGAATGTAGTATTTTATATGCATGGTGAGATGCATTCTTTCTAGTGACTGTTGAATAGGTGTGAATGCCTAATGCCATTACAATTGTTACCCAAAGAAACTTGCCCTGTTTAGACCACAGTGAATATTGTCATAAAGAATATTGGACCAGGATGTAAGAGCTGAGTTCTTGGTCCCCCTTTTCTATTAAATTTTGCATGACTTTAGATACTGACCTCTTACATCCTCAGATTTCTTAATTTGTAGAATAGAAGCAACAAAATAATACCTGTTTTTGTATATAGCACCATCTCATTTAAATAAACTATACCCTAGTTGGTTTGGCTCAGTGGATAGAGCATCAGCCTGTGGACTGATGCTCGGGTTCAGTTCCAGTCAAGGACACATACCTTGGTTGCAGGCTCCTCCTCAGCCCGAGCCCTGGTCGGGGCACGTGCAGGAGGCAACCAATCAATGTGTTTCTCTCACATTGCTGTTTCCCTCTGTCTTTCCCTCTCTCTTCCACTCTCCCTAAAAATCAATGGGAAAATATCTTCGGGTGAGGATTAACAAAAATAAAAAATAAATAATAAATAGACTATAAGGTCACTTTTAGATCTCATATCTATGGTTTGCCTCAGAATATGATAGTAATTTGTCAACTATGTATGCAACTAAGTCACAAATATTTTCCTATGATATTGAAATCCTTTTTTGCCAGTCTCCTGCTGTGGCTGGACTGATTGGGCTGAACCTTGAAAAATGATCTGTTACAGGTTCTACTAGCAAGAGATAATAACATAAAGAAAGCATGGGGATGAACTTGAAAGTATATACACAGTCTGGCCCAAAATGTAAAGAATTAAGAGAGGCCTCAAAAATCAGATTTGCTGAGAACCCTGGCTTCCTGGCTAAGAAATGTTGATGCATTTAATTGGAAAGGGAGTTGGTGAGAATTTTGAATAAGGCAGAGCTTTAGGAACATGATCCAGTTGATTTCACTTCCACTGAGAAGTATGCAGAAGAAAAAATTGCCTCTCTTTCAGATCACCCCATTTTGCGTTAATAGTTCAAGTAAAACTTTCAATAAAAGAAAATAATAAAAGTTAAAATGTGTTACAGAGTTAATTTGGGTAATGATTATTCAAATATTTTTCTTCCATATCATGAATATAGAAAATTAGTTAACTTGCCAAATAGAAGTTTTTTATTTATATTTTTAGACAGTCTCTAAAATATTAAAATAATTTTCTGTTGACATATGCTTTAGGGAAACAAAAATTCAATGAAAATTCTTCTCAAAGAAAGAAATTTGATTTAGATCTTTCCATAGAACAGAGAGTTAAAACTCAACTCTCTCATTTAAACACACACACACACACACACACATACAACTAATCTAGAAGGGTAATTCTATTTCATTGCCAAAACTTTATCCTTCACAGCAGCCATCTATTTTTCTATTTTATGGAAAGGTTTGTGACAAGTGCTGGTATTTGTGGAATTAGCTCTCTAAGTGTTAATTAATGCAAATGATCCTAGAGATCTTTGGCATGAAGTATTTTGTAATTTTTCTAAGGCATAAATGTGAGTCACACAGACAAGGTGGGTGTTCAGGTGCAAGTTGTCAAGCTAGAGGATAAATCATACTGAGCAAAGGGGTTTTGTTTTGTCTTACTTAGCCATCAAGCAAGATGGCGCATGTCATACTTGGCCTCATTTTAGACAAAAGCAATATACTATGAAGCTATTGCAAATATGGAAATATGTAAAGAATGTGCCATTAACGCATGTCAAAGGTCGGCTTCACATTATAGATTGAGCCGACATAGGTTAAGAAAGTCTACTATGGAAAAGAATCAGCTAGTTGTTTCACTAGAAAATCTATGACTATCTAGAAAACCAGAAAAAATCAACAGAAGTCGACATTTAAGTTTTAAGATTTAAATTATCTCTAAATAATGCTAGCAATGTGTGTGATGCCTTTGGGTTTGAATAACTTGTTTTGGCAATCAGAAAAATTGTCAAAAAGTTGATTAAATGTTAGAGTCAGATTCTTGCAGCCGAATTTAGAATTTCCATTTTTGCAGCAAGTTAATCAGAGTTAACATTTGGCTTGTGATCACTTTGTAATGAGTGTCTTGATTGGTACTCTAATGATCTCTAATTTAAAATTTGTTAATGCAATATGAGACCCTCTATATTCCTAAGGATGAGGGAAAAAACTGGCTTAGATAAATTCTATTTCATTGCCAAATAATTAGATCTTCATGAATAAAAATTAAAAGTATTATTAGGCATAATAAATTATTTCTTTTCTAAAATACATTTTTGTGGTTTGAAATGTAATGGTCTTTGTTGACTTAAAGGTATGTGTATCATAGTTTATATGAAATTCTGAGCTTACAGCTACACTTATTGTTAGATATAGACTGTGTGATATACCCCCTTTTATGAAACTGAAATTTTTATTATGCCCTAAGGTGTGGCCCAATCATCACGTCTTCTGAATTCAGAGTTTTGACAAGAGGCCCTTCCCTTGGGCTGTCAATGAGAGTTGCCAATGATATTTCCCTATAAGGGACAGCTATCTTGTCAGTGTTAGTTAGGCAGGACTGCGATTTAAGCTTTGTCTAGTTAAAAATAGTAGGATTCATGTCCTCTTGCAATTTTTTATCCTTTTTAAAAAGATCAAGAGATGTAATACTAGATGTAACACAGCTGCATATCTAAGATAAATTTATTTAGCTTTTTTTAAAAAATAAGAGGATAAACTGTCCCATAAAGCATTGAAAATGGGATTTCTCTTAAGCTATTGGGGGAAGGGAAGAACAGTAGCTTTAGAAAAAGTAAAACGAACCAGCCAAACAATAAAAATAAACCTTTCTTTCTGTGCTAACATTGCTTATCTGCCCTCTACAACATGCAGAATTCAAAAGACACATCAAAGAAGTCACAAGAGTTTTAACTTTGCACATTATATTATGCCAGAGTAATATCTTTCCAGATCTGGATTTGCTATTGTCTTCAAGATAAAACTGAACTTCCTGAAAATAGAAATTAAACACCTAACCTCAAATCTGTTGGACCTACCCAAGGCCTGGACTACATGACTTCTTACAAGTCAGCTAACTAAAGTTCTTTGGTTTTCTACCTTCTGCAAATAGAAAGAATGCTTCCACACCCACCACCCAAGGGCAATGGCTGTTTACCTATGAGCAGCTTTCAGAGAGGCATTTCAAAGGCCACTGAGCCATGCGTTCAGGGAAGGCCCAGAGCCTCCTTGCTGACCCTCTTAGGAAACCAGGGGTTCTTCCCCTGAATGAATGAGGACCCTCACCTGTAGCATTCACTAGACCCTGTGCTATGTGACCCAATAATACAGTTAAGTCAAGATGATTTATAATGGTGATGGCTGACACTGTCCGGGTTAAAGAGAGGCAGGTAGGGCACTGGCGTATCCTTCAGGATCCTGGGCTGAACTACGCTGAACTATACTATTGGACCTTCCGTAGAGTAAACCTGAGTCTCACTGTTGCCCACAGTAGACTCCCCCCAGATGATCCGTTTTCATTTTCTCTTCCTCTAATTGCTTCCATATTATACCTGCCTACAACTGGGATACAGAAGGCTCTGGAGCACTTGGCCCTTGGGAGTGCAGAACAATAGAGGCTCATTTTTATATGATAGATCTGCTCCTTAGTTCCAGTGTTCGCTTTTCTCTTAAATGATTATGTAGGTGGAAGGGAGTTTGGAGCCTTTTTGGCGCTACCCATTCTGGTTCCCTATACCCAGCCTGTTGAAAGAAAAATGCACAATGAAGTTACCTCCAATTCCTTTTAGGTTAGGATTTTAAACAAGAAGATCGATTTTAGCAAGGTTCAGTCCAGATGTGGTTCCAAGGATAACATCAAACATTCTGCTGGGGGCGGAAATGTAAGTAGAAGCTTCTGTTAGAAAGCTGTCCTGATTGCGTGGAGCCATCTGCACAGCCAGCACCCTGTCTCCTTTCCTGCCTCCTTCCCAACACACTCCGCCTTGTTGCTGCCCCACGTGTCCCCTTGATCTGGGAGCTTCTCAGCCTTGCATTTTCGGTGATGGGTTTCTCATCCTTCCCTTTAAGATCACCAGCACATTTCTTGCTTTCGTTTGAAGAAACAAAACCTTAATGGAGTGCACTATGGTTTTCAGGGGGATGGAAAACCCACTTCACTTGCCAATTTTGTTTGCTGGCCTTTGGCCCCAAGGCATTTCCTCACGCTATCTCTGTTCCCCTGCAAAAGTCACCTGGGCACACACTTTTCTAGCTCCATTTAAATTACTCTTGAGGCAAAGATTGATATAGTTTAAAATACCCAGTGTGTGATGTCTTTTGTGCTAAATCGTTCATAAGAATTAGAAGTCCCTTGAATAACACAAAACTGGTGAAGTATGGGTCTTCTCTAATTTGAAGTGAAAGGATTTAAGTCCCGGTATACATGTCTTAATGGTATTTTTCCTGTCTCTTAAATTGAGTGGACATAATATCCTGAGCGGAAAGGAAAGATGAATCCATGTCTCTCAAACTTAGATGAGGCAGAATTGAAACAGGCAAACTCAAGCCAGATCCTGTCACCTAAACTTTAGGTTCTGGCCATCTATAACTCCAATAATTTAGAGTACAAAAACCAGAATTCTCACCTGTCTAATAGCTCTTGGCTCCTTGCTCCTCAACTGGACAGAGATGGAGTCAAGCAGTGAGAGATGAGCAAGTGACTTCTATCAGGAACTGTCACCTGATGTTCAAAGTTGATCCACTAAGCATAAAAATTTCCCTGTCATGGGAAGTCCATAGCAAGGTTTGCTGGGCTTCTCCAAGAGTTCTGGGCTAAGACTCAGGGTCACTGTTTACATGGACATGGTTGCCTTCCTCCCTGTTGGGCTAACTGTAAGTCTCACCACCTGGTACTTTCACAGAAACAGTATCAGTCAAAGTAAATAACTTGAAGTGATCAGAAGGCGGACCCAAAATACCTAAGTAAGAAAAGGATAAATTGAGATAACTAATAAACTTAAAATAAGTAGGTGAGCTTCCAACCTCCAAAACAATAATCTTAAAATTTCCTCTAGAGAAGAATCACTTATTCAAACACACAGAGTCCCTGGCCCCATTTCCACAGCATCCAATTTAGTAATCCCCGAATACTTCTGATGCAAATGCACCATGAGCCACACTTGGAGAAGCACTATTCTAAATATTGGGAGAGGAAATAATTTCAACAAAACACAAAAAGAAAAAAAAATGCTGTTCTCATTAATAATCTGGTGCACAAGAAAAATTCCATTTAGCTAAGACATAATGTTTTAGAAAAGTATGTTTACAGCTTTCTTCTTCCTGTATCTTAAAGCAATACTGTTCTTCTTGTATCTTTGAGCAATGTTGTTCACTTCTATGTAAAAATCACTTTTGAAAAAAGTAATGTATCTCTTCACTTGGCTCTTTGCTTATGGAAAGGTTTAACACGATGTCGCTTCATTCTTGCCTTATTAATCCAGGTGTTTCTGTCCCCTTTGTGGCATAATCTGTTTCCTACTAATACAATCTTCTGTTTTAGGATTTTCTTCCACTTGGGTCCTTCCTTCCAACCAAACATGTGGGAGGACATATGGGAGATGATGTTGCCCTATGTGTGTATGTACTTCAGTTTGGGTTCCTGGATATGTTGTAGTGTGTTGTGAGTTTGCACATGTTTCTAGATTTGATGTATGAACTTAGGGGGTTTGTTCAAATCTAAACTATTTTAAGCATTTTTATGTGATTCACACAGGTACAGATTGTTACTAAGAAGATAGACCTAAGCCATGTGACATCCAAATGTGGCTCTCTGAAGAACATCCGCCACAGGCCAGGTAAGTAAATGCTTTTCGTAGCTTGAGGAATATTATATTGGATTCAAGAAGTTGACAGGCAAAGGTTTTGTTGTTATGAAATACCCAATTGGAAGGACTTTTCAATGTCCTGATACTTAATTCTTTTATATAGAGAAACTTAAGTTAGAAATTTGGACATCTTCATTTGGACAAGTAAACTCCATTACCAATAATAGGCCGTATATCATAGGACAGGTTAAAAATTACAAGGTACATTTATCTCTATGTACTCAACATGCTTATTGCAGCTCTTTCTAAATATGTAGTCTATAAAATGCTTTGGACCATGTATTCATACATAATTACATGGACTTAAAGCAGCATTTCCAACGATTTTTCATGAGATTGTTTTTCTACATTAAGTGAAATAAGGATTGTGGGTAAGCAAAGCTGAAGAATTTTATTTATCTGTTGAATTTCTCAGATCCTTTAGTAGGTCAATAAGAACTGTAAATTCTCAGCAGGATATAAATGCTTCTCAAACGTATTTGACTATGGACCTCTTGATTTTCTAGAACATGTCATGGGACTAGTGCTCTACAGTAGAGTTTATATTCTTAATTCCTAAGGATTTTTCCCTCTTTCAAATGTGACTCTAACATATTTTGAGTTATTTTTCTGAGTATCACATATTACATGTATTTTTGCTAAACTCCACCTCCACTCATGTGTAAATAATGGACAACTATCAAATTTGTAATTTTCTTGAGAAATTTTGATACAATTTTTATATATCATTGTATTATAGAATAACATGAGGAAGCAATTGGTTTTAATAATCTATGCTTATCATCGTAATTAAACCAGGTATTAGAGTATTCCCATTCATCGTCTCACATGTTATCAGAAACAAGGTGTAAGAACAATTAAGCCCAGTAAAATTGCTGATCAGGAGAAGATTATTAAAAAGATTTATTAGTTGAAAAACATTTATTCATTAAAATGGATAAATGCCTTAGAAACATGTCTAGAAATCAGGCTTTGCTTTGGCAAGGGGTATTCATAAAACAAGTCAAGGAATTAAAATTACTTATATGGAGTCTCTATTACTAGTTTCACAACTGCTACCCTGGCTTTAGCTTCTCTGTCATTCATGAAGCAGCAGGGACATAGCCCCATTCTGCCTGTCTTCATAATTCCCCTGTCTATAACTCAAGCCTACAAACACTTAGCTGACTTTGTACTTCCCTGTCAACAGTATGACTGAGGTTTTTGGCCATACTGCCTATTTTCTTCCAAAATACAGAAGAAAATATTGCGTTCTTTAATTTCAGACAGTAAGTATACAATTATTCAAATTTACCTGGGGTCTTGATGCACAGAAAAATTTTACATAGACAAGGAAATATTCTGTGCAGAGATTTACTGGTATAAAAGACTATTGTCATGAACTCCCACCTATTCCTAAATCTAGCTCTTCTGTAATAACTGAATCAGATGACTAAATTCATAAAGAAGTGTTAGCACAATGATCCTTGACAACAGCAAGATTTTCACCAGTTTACTGTGGAATGTGGAATATCTATAGAGAATGTGAAGGAAACAGGTCAGCACCTGCAGTCACAGATTATTTATTATACAGATAAGAGAAGCCCCTCTGATATCTTATGTTACAGTGGATAGAGGAGAAAGGTATTAATATGTAAAGCAATCCATATAATAGTACAAAAAAGATGTCATTATCTTAGGTAACATGGGGAAAATGGTATGGACTAGAAATTTTAAAAGATTTTTTTTTTCACATCTATGGTCAGAGGCTAATAGAGCTAATTGAGCTTGTAGATTACAATGGACTATCTACTATAATCATTTTTGGGAAATAGTCACCACTAATAGACGATTTCAGCAAGGATTTTAAAGCCTTTCTCCTCACATAGGTGGTGGACGTGTGAAAATTGAGAGTGTAAAACTGGATTTCAAAGAAAAGGCCCAAGCTAAAGTCGGTTCGCTTGACAATGCTCACCATGTACCCGGAGGTGGAAATGTCAAGGTAAGAAACAAGGTCATGAGTGGTCTCGCCTTTTTTGTTTGTTTGTTTTTATCAACATGGGTCCAAGACTAAAGACCTGAACATATGGGAAGTAGGGATGGCAGAGCTGAGTAGAAGTGACATTCACATTAGCTCTGGGATATAGAAAAAGATCTAGGGGTTAGTTAAGATGCTTGAATTAACAAGGACTGATGCTTGTCTTAAACAGATTGACAGCCAGAAGTTGAACTTCAGAGAGCATGCTAAGGCCCGTGTGGACCACGGGGCTGAGATCATCACGCAATCCCCAGGCAGATCCAGCGTGGCATCCCCGAGGCGACTCAGCAATGTCTCCTCTTCGGGAAGCATCAACCTGCTCGAATCCCCTCAGCTTGCCACCCTGGCCGAGGATGTCACTGCTGCACTCGCTAAGCAGGGCTTGTGAATATTTCTCATTTAGCATTGAAGTAATACTATTTAGGCATGAGCTCTTGGCAGGAGTGGGCTCTGAGCAGGTGTTATGTTTATTCTTTACAAACCATAAAATAAATATAATCTCATTCCCAAACTCTAGTAATTGTTACAATTTTATATTTAAAAACAGGAATAGCATATGCAGAAATTGACTTGATTTCCATTTGCAACAGGAAGACACTGGCTTTACCTGAGTACAATTGGACGATTATTTTTGCTCTGCTCTGTTTTGCATGGAGTATTATTATTTGAAAAATTGCATTTTCACCTTTCATGTGCCTGAAGGCTATCCACTACATTCTGAAAGGCCTTGTTAACATTCAAGCTGCTCATCTCACTATTATTCTATTGCTGGGTGAAACGGTAAAAGCTTCACATTGTAACTTATTGCCGGTTCAAAAGAAATCAAGGAGTCTGATGGCAGGAAGGGAAGAGCATGTAAGAAATAGGGTTGTTGTTTTTTTTTTAAGTGTTATTTTGTATAAATGGGAAGAAAGATTCAATTAAGTTATTAACATTTGGGACCTGGATAATTATATCAGAGTATAAGTCAATTCAATAAATTATTTAACTAATTAAAAAATAGTCTCGAAGCATTTGAGCTGCGGTTGAGGAAGTGGTGCAGAAGTGCTCTCTTAAGAATGAAGCACTTGCACTCGGATGGACTCGTGTCTGGTTAGAATGTCAGTTATCAGCTAGATCTGTGTCCACACTACCGGTTTCACGCCCCCTTTCCATCTGTTTGATACAGTATTATAGATATAAATATATATATATTTCTCTGTGGCCATTTGTGATACTTCCTCATATACTTGAATATTATACTTCCTTATTCACAGTATCTGTGTCTCCTGCACCCTTTGGTGTTGCAATTTTAGGTATGTGAAAGTAGATGTTAGCAGGGTTCTTTCCCTATTTAAAAAAATACATTAAAAAGACAAAAAGTTTTAGCATGAAGTTGCTTTCTGTAACAACTCAAAGCTGTAACCCTGTTATAGTGCCAGATACAAGTCTCTCCCGTGATGCTAGAAGATTTTATTTTTCTTTGTTTTCACCAACATGGAGTTTGTGGGGGTGAGTCCAGTTATACATAAAAGGGTTTACAGATTGTTGGTTTAAAATTATGGATTTCAATTATTTTGAATCACAGAATAGTTTGGGTTTTTTATTTCTGTAATCATTCATGAAAGACTTATTAATATTTCTTCTTCCCTTTTTTTCCATTTGCTAAAGTTGAAACTAACAGTGGGAATTTGGGACATGTTATCCCATTCTTCCAAATAGGACCTGCTTATCAAATTATCTGACAGAAGAGATTTGGCTTCCTTCCCCAAAGTAAAGATCCCTTGATCAGAAAGGAAAATTACAGTATTTTGAGAAGCTATAGCTACAAAATGCTTGAGATGCAGATGTCAAAATCATTTTATTCAAGACTCCAACACTGCTTAAAGGAATACTGTATGACTTAGCATTACTTATGAGTAGATAATACTGTTTGACTTTATATACAGTCTAGAAATCACAACTCAATGAATTAATTCCTCTCATAAATCATCCATCTTAGACTTATGAAGAAACAATGAATTAGTCAATGGCCTGAATAAGGCAATAAGTTACCAGGCTGGATGGGTGCATTTTAGTATTTTATCTATTCATTTTCTTGCTCAGGGCTGGTAGGTTGGATTATGAACAGTTACAAGCAAATGATCTGGTAGGTGTTTGATTCATTTGAGCCAAACCAATGTATGAATGTAAAGGAAGAAATAATGAGCGTGGGTAAGGCAAAAAGGAAGAATAGTAGCATCTGAGAAAGAATTCAAGAAATGCAATAACAGAGAGACACAGGTGACATTTTGTGACTCGTTGAATATTGGAACCAATGTGACATCCACAGTAAGACACTCTAGGAGCAAATGTGCACCATTCACTCTCAAAGAAAAGGTTTTACATAGGCAAACATGTCGGAAACTATATTTAAATCAGTTACTTCATATAGCAGTAAAAAAGATAGAAACAACTGAGTAGGACAATGGATGTGTCTATTTTCTGCCTAATAATTGCTGTGAGGTTTTATTTGACCAATCTGGCATTTTATCCATCAGCTTCCCTTGAAATGCACCAGAAAATAGAAGAAAGAATAGTCGTGTGGAAACTTACGGTATTTTCTTACATGTTTGATAGTGTTAGATAGTGATTGAAGTTCGGTAGAAAGAAGTTAACAACTGGTTAGAACAACTTTAACAAGTGAAACATGTTTGTTTTTTCAACTTGGTTTAAGTTTTTTATAAAAATTAACAATAAAGAACATCTCTACATATTAAAATTCAGGTTCTTAAAAATACGTGTCTAAAATAAAATTTATGTAAAGCATTAAGTTATTAGATTTGGCATTTAAAACAAATGTTTATTTCAAACCACAGAAAAATTATAATGAATTAAATGCTCTTCCTTTGTATGGAAATGTGATTCTCTATAATGTTAATAACAACAATGAAAAACCTGAATGTTTGTACCAGTAAAAGAGAGAAACACAGGATAAATGTCTTCTTATGGGGATAAGTGGTGGAACCCATCTTGCCTTCACTCTCAAGGTTAACGACACAAATTAAGCTTTTTGAACACCACTTTTGTGGGGACATCCATACGCTGATCTAGAAACTAAAGCTTCATAGTTCCAGTTCTAGATCTATTCATGCCAGTTTCTCTTGGGCTTTAGCCTTTGAGAACCTGTTAAAGGAGACATAAGTAATCCAGAGCTGTGAAGAGTTAAAAGGCCAACTTCTCCAATGAACTCACCCTCTCTGGGTCACCTGCAGCCAAGAATTGGGTACCTTATAACGATGCAGGAAAGATCCGAGTTTATGATGAGTTTCAAAGGCCATGTTCATTTAGGAACCAACTCTCTCTGGATCCTCCTACTGAGTTCCAGCAGGGTGATGGGCTGAAATCCAACCCACAAGCAAGACGCCTGTGTAGCACCAACTACCTATGGCTGAAGAAGGTCACAGAGAGAACTTTCTTAGATGGAAGACTGTACTAATGGTAGCTGGCTTCTTCAGACACTCCTATAGTGGTACAGCAAGAAATGGGATCATCAACCAAACTATAACATGTCAGTAGTAGTCAAGAAATAATCTCAATGTGCTTAATTCTGGCATAGCTATAATTATAGTTTTTCTCATATTTTTCATGCCCCCAAAAGGAGGTAAATAAACTGTTCATGGTCTAAGTAGCCAACATAAATAAATAAAGTAGATTCATGGCTTGGAAAGGCAAATTCTAGGCACTCCTTCCAAGATCGATGTGGTAAAATCAGCATTGATGTTTGTTTTTCTAGGCCTAGGAGTTTTAGCCTCTGTGTGTAGGTTGAGGCCAAGTCCCTCTGCCAGAAAAGGCTTATTTTTAAGCTCAAAAACTGTCAATCATGAAAATCTACTTCAACTTTAGCAAAAAGAAAAAAAAACAACAAAAAGTATACTCTGTATGCTGGGATTCCAAGGTTCCAACACTCCGCTACAAATCTGTGGGGGGTTTCTTTCTTCTGATAACTCTAGAGCCTGTTACCATAGAAAGGCATTTCTTCAATGGCTGATTGTAGTTAGTTCATGTTTTTCAATCAAAATTTGCAAATGTATTTGTTGCTGTATAGTGATTGTTTTGCAAAATAAAATTGCTTGTCATCAGATTTATAGTTTCAGATTGTTTCTTCTCTGGGAAAAATTGTGTGTGTGTGTGTGTGTGTGTGTGTATATATA